TTCTATAAAATTTACTACAAATTAGATATTTTATTTTCTATAAAACTCTATCACATTATCTATTTATTATAAGTTTATTCAGGAAAAAAAAAATTATCATGAGTTTTATAGTAAAATAAAATCTAATTGGACATAAATATATTTAAATAAAATAAAATAATTTCTATAAAAATTTACCACAAATTAACTATTTTATAATCTATTAAACTCTACTACATATAACCTGTATTTACCTATTTATTATGAATATATTTAAAGAAAATAAGATAATTTATATAAAACTCTACCACAAATTACCTATTTTATTTATTTTTTTAAAACTTTATCACATATAATCTGTATTTATCTATTTATTATGAGTTTTTTAATAAAAGGAAATTTAATTAGACAATGATATATTTAAAAAAAATAAAATAATTTTTAAAAAGAGTTTCTATAAAATTCTAACACAAATTACCTATTTATCTATTTATTATGAGCTTTTTAATAAAAAGAAAATCACTCTACCACATATTATTACCTAATAAAATTCAAATATGTGTTTCAGTATTTATTTATTAATATAAAAAAATATTTATTAATTGAAAAAAATATTACCTAATAAAATTCATATTACCTAAAAAATTATTTCAAATTACATAATAAAATTCAAATTACAAATTACCTAATACTTTTATAAAAGAGTTTTCATAAAATTCAAATTAACTAAAAATTTATTTCAAATTACATACTAAAATTTAAATTAAAGATTACCTAATAAAATCCAAATTATATAAAAAGTTATTATAAAATATAAATAAAAATATTAATTAATTGATATAAATGGAGTTTTTAAAAGAGTTTCAGTAAAACTCTAACACAAATTATCTATTTATCTATTAATTATGAGTTTTTTAATAAAAGAAAATCTAATTAGACAAAAATTACTAATATAAAAAATATTTATTAATTGATATAAAAAATAATCTAATTTCTCTAATACTCTACCACAAATTACCTTTTGTTCTTTCTTCTTCTTTTTTTTAATAAAAGGAAATCTAATTAGAATAGGATATATTTAAATTAAGAAATAAAATAATTTGTATAAAACTCTATCACATTATACAATGATATATTTAAAGAATTTCTATAAAATTCTAACACAAATTCTTAATTTATTCTGAGTTTTTTAATAAAAGAAAATCTAAACAGACAAAAATTATTAATATAAAAAATATTTATTAATTGATATAAAAAGAGATTTTAAAAGAGTTTCCATAAAACTCTAACACAAATTGCCTATTTATCAATTTATTATGTGTTTTTTAATAAAAGAAAGTCTAATTAGACAAGAATTATTAATATAACAAATATTTATTAATTGATATAAAAAATAAAATAATTTTTCTAAAATTCTACCCCAAATTACCTTTTATTCTGAGTTTTTTAATAAAAGAAAATCTAATTAGAGAATAATTATTAATATAAAAAATATTTATTAATTGATATAAAAATAGTTTTTAAAAGAGGTTCTATAACACTCTTAACACATTTTACCTTTTTATCTATTGATTATGAGTTTTTTCAATAAAAGAAAAAATAATTAGACAAGAATATATTTAAAGAAAATACAAAAAATTTATAAAATTTACGATAAATTATTTTATGTAAAACTCTATGACATTATCTATTTATTTTGAGTTTTTTACTAAAATAAAATCTAATTAGATAAGAGCATATTTAAAAAAATAATAATAATAATTTCTATAAAACTCTACTACAAATTAGCAATTTTATTTTCTATAAAAACTTTATCACATATAACCTGTATTTACATATTTATTGTGAATATATTTAAAGAAAATAAAATAATTTCGCTAAAAGTTTACCTCAAATTACCTATTTTATTTTCTTTAAAACTTTATCACATGTAACCTATATTTATCTATTTATTATGAGTTTTTTTAATATAAAAAATCTAATTAAACAAGATATATTTAAAGAAAATAAAATAATTTTTTAGTAGGTCACACAAATCCCTATTTATCCATTTATTATGAATTTTTTAATAAAAGAAAATCTAATTAGACAAGAATTATAAATATAAAAAATATTTATGAATTGATATAAAAAATTAAGTAATTTCTCTAAAACTCTACCACAAATTACCTTTCATTATGTGATTTTTAATAAAAGAAAATCTAATTAGACAATGATATATGTAAGTGCAAAATTTCGCTCAACCAATAATGATTGGGAAAAATAAAACAACTCACTCAATAAACAATAAAAATAAACAAGAACAGTGTATAGAGAGGCGTAGAATTGCTTGATTCCTTTATTAAAAGTCTGGGCCTCTATTTATATACAAAAGTTAGAAGAATTATGGTAACACTCGCGTTGCTTGTCCTCTAATTCTTTCCATATATCAATTTCTTTACAAATAGAATTCTTTCCTCTTTATAATTCTTCCCTTACTAGATTTTCCTTACATAGAACTTGCTTCCTTTGGTGAATCCTTTTCCTTGGAGGACCGGCTCCTTTTTTAAATGGATTTGGGCCGCATTTAACTTGGTCCACATGACTATTGGCATCTTGATTCGGGATTCCCTCTTTAATTGGATTGCGGCTCCTATTAAAAAGAGAATTGAAGTTGCACGGTTGTCTATTTTACAAAAAGACGGTTCGAAGATTGCCCATTGCCATTCTGCCTTAAGAGATTCCATAAGGGTTACTTTTGCTCTCACTACATTTATTGCATTCTTCACTCCGTCGTCTTATCAGGTTAGTTTTTCATCTTTTTCTCTTCGATCTTACATTATGAGTACTTCGTCTACTCCTGAACGTATAGAGATCGTAGATTCTGAGTCCACTCCCTCGTCTTCCCCTAATCTCATTAGGGTTCCCCCACCTAGGGTTTCGAACTTTCCTAAACTTGTAAGTGACTCGGCTAATCAGTTAGGTGCTTCCCTGATCCAGGCTGAAACATTCACCTCTGGGTCGGACAATATCCTCACTAAGGAAGAAAGAAATGCAATTTTATCTATTCGTCGCATCCCGTTCTCCATTGAATCCGTAATGGAAGAATTCGAGATTCCCGAGGGGGTAGAAATTGTAGAGTACCCCAAAGGCACTGATTTTTGCGCCGGCGAGGGCGTCGGAGAAGACGAGTTGTTCCTCTCTGTTGGGCACCTCAACGCTCTTAGGTTCCCCCTTCATCCTTTCTATCACTTAGTCTTCAACAAATTGGGGATTGCACCCCTGCAAGTAAACCCTAACTTTTTTCGAGTAATCTCAGCACTCCTCATTCGCCGGTGGCAGGAGAGTTTTGACCTGACTCTGGCTGACTTGCTAATTACTTATTCTATTTCTAAGCATGGAACCGAACCTTGTCGTTTCTTTTTCACTTCCCCCTTGCACCAAAGGATATGTACAGACCTCCCTACTACTGAGAAGAAGTGGAAAGAGAGGATGATAATTGTTAAAGGGAGATGGGCCGTGCCCCAATCGAGCAAACTCCCAATCCCTCGCAAGTTCGGGAAGTTAGGTATAAAACATCCCCCCTTTCTTCATGAAGATTGCTTTGGCTGTTTCCCATGTCGAGTCTTATTCTTTCGATATATTTACGAGTTTCTTGGTGTTTTTTCAGCAACATTTCCTTCTTCGGCTGCCAAGAAGAGGCTTTCCTTCCTAGAAAGGCATGTCTGGAGCGACCCTCCCTCGGTCGAGAGCTTACTCACTTTTGCGAGTCTTAAAGCAGTTGCTTCCAGAGCTGTAGCCGTTGATCTCATGGACCTCTCACTTCCATCATTTGACAGCTTCCCCATGACTGAGGAAGAAAAACAGAGGGCTGAAACCTTGAAGAGGAAAGTTGCAGAGAATGCTCCGTTGACTATATTGCATACAAATGAGCAAGAAAAGGAGATTGACGAAGTTCCTTTAAACAAAAGGGTAAGGCTGAACCCCTCTTCAACCGCGAAATCCAAAGGTGCTTCCAACCCAAAAAGCAAAGGGAAGAAAATCGAGGAGATTAACCTTGAGGATGAGGTCAGCGCTTACGTCCTTGCCGAGGCTGGGGCACCTTGGACTCCTTCCTTCTCGAGGGCTGACAAGTCCATCCTCCATGTTGGTGATTCTATGATCACTGACCCATCTGCGGCACTGGCCGTTACTCGGGGAATGTGGCTCCCCAAGGATGAAGAAATTATCGGCAAAATGGGGTTGGAACAGCTACTCCCATCTGCCCTTGTTCGAGCCATAGAGGTTTGCTTCTTCCTTCATTTCCATTGTCATAATTGTCTTACAAACTTTCTTACATTGTTATAATCTCATGATGCAGGGCTTGTATCATACTATGGCCCTCTGTGCTACTGTTGAGGCTCGGTCTCTTTCCCTTAATAAGCTGGAGAAAGACCTCAGTAATTCTGAGAAGAAGGCATCCCATGCCATTGCCAATGCACAAATTGCATACGAGGCTCGGGATGTTTACAAGAAGCGTCTGGCTGCTTCTGACGCTAAAGTTAAGTCGCTGGAGGCTGAAGTCCAACGCTTAAATGATGCCCTTAGCACCTGCATCATTGCCGGAAGGCAAATGCAAGGTCGTTACTCCAGTCTGGTGCGCTTGTTAAGTGCAAAAGCTTACTGGTCCGGCTTCAATCAAGGCTCAGGCCCCAAATCGATGGATCCTAATGCCTTTGATGTGAACATGCACTATAAGAAATTAAGCTATTAGGGACAGTCTTTTAGTGACGGACTAAAACCCGTCCCTAAAGATTTTATTATTAGGGACGGACAAATTTTACTATCCTTAATACTAGGCTTTTAGGGACAGGCAACTTGACATGTCACCAAATTCTTAAAAATTGTCCCTAAAAGGGTTATTTTTGGTACGGTTATTGAGGACCGTCCCTAATATCCCCCCGAAAAAAAAGAGCCAAACTTTAGCGCTTCATTTTTTTTTTTTTTTTGGCGCAAAAATGAAATAATATAAACTTATTTTATTTTACAACATAGGGAAGCCAATCACACTACGTCGTTTTTGATCTAAAAAAGTTTGTATCATTTGCAAATCTCTTCCACCGTCACAACTCACAAAGCTCTTCAGTTCTTCACCTCTTCTGTTCTTCTCTCAACGTCGCCTTGCTCTACGACCTAGTAGCAACCTTTGGGGTTTCTTCCGTTTCCAGCCAAGCCAACCTCCTAATCTCGGTAGAGCCAAGCAAAAGTTCATTTGTACTTTTCCTGTTTGCCATTTTTCATGATCCTCACCCTAGTTTTTTCTAGGGTTTCGAAATTGCAAAAAGGGGTAAACTACAAATCTGGAAAAGGCTTGTCGTCTGAGTCTGAATCGCTGTGGGAAATCATACAGGTTGTTTGAGCTTTCTATATTTTTGGTTCAAAGGACTCATCTGCTTTTTCATCTTCTGGGATTTTTGGCTCTATCTTTGCACCTTCATCCCAGATATTGCCTTTTTTTTAACAATCTGTTGATTATTATTCCTCCTGAATTTTGGAATTTAAAAGAAAAAAAAAATTATGTTGTTTATCAGACTTAGGGTTGTCATTTCTGATTATTCTATGGAGCTGTTGTGTTTCTGTTGATAGATCTTAATGGGGGAGTAGGCTTCGTTTGGGATACAGTTTTTAGTGGAAAAGTATTAGATGTGCAAAGAGAAATGGTCTCTCTTCTGTGTCGAGCGATGCCTTGAACCCCCTTCGGGGTTACGTTTCTCTTCCACAGGTCACCTTTGGCCCAAAGAGGTCCTTTCTCTTCTTTCTTTTGCTTCCTATTATATATTCTCTTTTGTTTGGTTGCTCAGAAATGGTAGGAAAATAAAATTCAGATTTTGGGTTTTTATGTTCTGGGCATAATTCAGGTTGGTATTTAGCTCTGTTGAAGTGAGAAATTTTGTTGATAACCGATAAAATGTGCAAAAAACCAAGTTCGCATAGAAATTGTTTGGCTTGGTAATTCTGAGCAATCTGCTTGGTTGCTCAGGAAATGTGGGAATTGAGAGTGAAAGTTGAGATTTTGGGTTTAAATATATGGGGTATAATTCAAGTACATGGCTTATAATTCAAGTATATTGCATAATATTCTGTTTATATTCATCATATGGTTCAAAGAAACAAATGGTGGAATTCAAGTCTTTGGATATTTGCGTGCATAGTCTTGCAATATTTTTGTATTATCTGATATATTGGATTATTTGGGATTACAAGTTTGGTTAGTTTAATCAGACTTAGGGTTCTCAGAATTTCCTAGTTTTATTCAAATAAATAATGTTGAAACAGCTAACTTGTTTGTGGAATTTGAGGTTTTCATGAAATTATTGGAAGATGTACTTGTATTTTTGGATTAGAAATGTTGGTTTCAGTGCTTATTTTGGCTCACATGTGAAAATTAGGATTTTGGCTTTCATATATATATTTATTTATTTCAATGAAGAAACATACTTGCGATTGAAATTTGAAAATGTGTTTTTCCTAAAATCAACTTGTCATGTAAATTCTGGACTTATTGAAACTGCTTATAGATTAAAAAATAAAATTTATTGACAAACAAGTGATACTATATGGAAGAATTCATTGGAAATTGAACTTTTCCCTCAGTAGTTGTTTGTTGCATTGCTTTTGATCAATTAACACATATAACATGCAGATGGATGTTGCCCAATTCAGAAAACTCAGTTTTAGCCTCGACTGCGAATGATATGCGCTGTGATAAGTACACCCCCATTGATTCTGGAAAGTTGAAGTCTGCAGCTATAGGGCTATCTCAAAGTAAGTTTTAGTCTTCTCTTTCGATGCTTCTCATTTGGTAGATCTAAATTTCTTTTCTTCAAGGATATTTGATCACTGTTAATAATAATAATGATAATAATAAAACCATTTTTAACTAAGTATATTTCTGTATAAACTTGAATCTATTCAGAACTCAACAAACCTGATGGCTAGATGAGTCTTGAGTTGACAATATTAGCTTCTCATGCTAAGTTCAACTCATTCCAATTATGATCTGACCTAAAATTGACTAATCCTTGCCATTACTACCCCTGAACCTGTTTCACATCTATAGTTCTCACCTTTGTGTTCTATGATCCCCCAAAACCCAAGAAGAATCTCAATAGGGAGTTGTTGAGACCTTTATTAGGGACTTTTTTGTATTACCCAAGTGCAATAACTTTTATCTACATCACTCTTCTCTCTTTAATAAACCCAAACTCTAATTTATGAATCAGACAGGTAGCCTCATACAGTTATAACCAAATGTTTAAATTGATTAAAATTTATTCATAATCTATCTAATACATCATTAATTGCTTAAGTTTGATTGATTTGCTATTGATTAAAAAACTTCACGGCTATAGTAACTGATTTGAAGCATACTTTGGCTGATATTTCTGATTCCATTAGATTTTTGTTACATTACCTGATACCACAATTTAAAAGTATACTTATTTTATCCTTTTTTACCTTTGTTTTGTAATTATTTTTACATATCCATACCGTTTGTATGCACTTAATGGGTTATGCAATGTTCTTTATTGATGAGTGAAACTTATCTTAAATTTTATTTGGTATGCTGGCTCAGCAAAATATCTGTGTTCTTTCCCACTATGTCCAGAAAATAGGGAATTATATACAAATAGAGTAGCCTAGAATGCTGGTGGTCCATGGAAAAGTTTGCTAATTACAAGTATCAACCAAAACACAGCAGAGTGATGGCATCTTCCCACATATTTCATTTATGTCCGAAAAGAATTTTTAATATAGCCCCCTATTATGGTTATATGAATCTTTTTTTATATCTTATTGTTATTCAAGGTCTCCTCCACCTCAGACACATAATTTTATGGTTTCATCACTGTTTCGTACAGATTTCAAGAATGAGTTTGATCAGAATTGATATTTTTTTTTTCTTTTTTTTCTTTTTTTCACAACAACTATTTAGTGCTTCATTTTTATTTATTGTTATTTTGGTGTTTGGATGATTTGGTGTAGAATAATCATACCCGACTCAAAAAAGTCTATTTCAACTATTTAGGTTTGGTTACATAAATCCTATTTTCTTTTCCATTTTAAAGCCATAACCTTAGGCAAATCTTGAGAACTGTTCAGGAAGTCAAGTTTTAAAAATACCAGCATTGCTATTACATCCGAATGATATTCTCTATATTCTGTCTTTCAGTTTCTGGTCGCAATCGAAAATACTAAAGTGATTGTATAGTTTTTATTTTTATTTAGGAAAAAATTTAAGAGAAGTGACTTAAAAAATAAATCAAATAGGCCCTTACAATCCCTTTGTTAGTGAAAGGAAGGAAATTTTATGAATGCTCTAGAAAGCGACCCTTCATAAACCAGAATAAGCCTTGCAGTTGACTTGTTAGTGAAGTTCTGATGCTAACAATTTAGCCAGGGTCCCATTTGAAGGTTGTATTAGTTCACTTCCAAAACATAGAATATCTCCTGCACAAGATCTTATTCAGAACTGATAATTGGTGCCATTATATACTTATTGCAGGTCATATCCACTAGCTGTTCACCCAAGATTGAGTTTGATAAGAATTTTAGGTATGATATATTTCTTACTCCTCTTATTCTGTTTTATTTTATTTGTTTATTTATCAATTTCTGGATTTTAATGCTCTATAAGTTTATATTACCTAGATAATTAGTTCTAATGCTCTTATTATGTTTTGTTTTATTTGTTTACTTATCAATTTCTGGATTTTAATGCTCTTATTATGTTTTATTTTATTTGTTTATTTATCAATTTCTGGATTTTAATGCTCTATAAGTTTGTATTACCTAGATATTTAGTTCTAATGCTCTCCGTCATGGATCTATCGTGATTATGCATATTTTTTTATTTTCCTTCTTGTGTACCTCTTGTTTATATGGGTCGTACCCTTGTTTTGGCGCCTTTTAATGATATTTTACCACTTCTCCCTTCCCTACCAAAAAAACAGAGAGCCTATGCATCAAGTACATAAATTTTGTTTTGCAGATATTGTTTTTAAAGGACCATTTTTCTTTACCAGTAATTGGCCCTGCATGTGTTTTGTTTAATTTATCCAGAGACAGCCTCATCACTTTGTTCTCTCATTTACCAAAATTTGTTAGATAAATGAAAATTCTTTCTCCACAAAGGGAGTGGAATAAAAATTAAATTTGATTATACAATTTTTGAAAATATAATTCACTGGAGGCTGGGGATTGATGGATGAAACAATTCTGAAAACGTTGTTCATGACACATTTTATTCGTTTGTGACTTTTTTAAATGTGTCAAATATGTGTGCATGAGCTGGTTATCACTACAAGAAATTAGGCTATTCCACCGTCACAGCTCATAAAGCTCGATCTTCAGTTCTTCACCTCTTTTGTTCTTCTCAACAACGCCCTGCTCTACGACCTAATAGCAACCTTTGGAAGGTTTTTTCCATTTCCAGCCAAGCCAACCTCCTAATCTCAGTAGAGGCAAGTAAAATTTCTTTCGTACTTTTCCTGTTTGCCATTTTTCATGATCCCCACCCTAGTTTTTTTTCTAGGGTTTCGAAATTACAAAAGGCCTATTGAAGGGGTAAATTATAAATCTGGAAAAGGCTTGTAATCTCCAAACAAACATGCTCAAAAGATTGAAATAGGGAATAGAGCAAGTTATAACAATCTCAGATCATAAGTAGGCTTGAAATATCTTAAACCTTAGTCTTCAGTTAAATCACCTAAAACTTGAGTTAATTCTGGTTCTTACAGTTTCACATACTCACAGTGCACTTACTCAATTAGATACTTTAGTTCTTTCAACAATAGACACAGTTGTAATGCACAATAAGTGCTAGGACAGAACTGACATCAGTTTTACAACACTAAATAAATGTAGGTGAAAGTAGGCCTTGATTCAAGTTCCCGCAACACTAAATAAATGAAACTTGTTCAGAATGATACTCTTCAGTGTATAGCAAGTTTACTTCGAATTGCAGCTCAAAATAAGTCACAGCACAGTTTCAGCTGAAACTTTGTTCTTAGGGACTAAATTGTAATTTTACGTCCTTACAGCCTTGAACTTGATTCCAAACATCTCAATCCAGTTATATATATATGCTCAGAAGGTAATCACAGCAAAGCTAGCAATATGAATCAACTAGAATGAGTTTAAAACTTTCTGTAGGCTATTTTATTCAATAAGGCTGTTTTGTTTGGTTTGAGAGTTCAAAACCAAGTACACTCAATTTTCAGTCTTGATCTTTGTCAACAGAGTTCTATAATGATTAAATATACTTTTTCAAAGCATAAACTCAACACATACAAGAAGTAATCAACATAAAACAGTCCATTAGAGGCTATTCACCAGAAAGGCTGAAACTGATATATGAGTACTCATATTGTTTTTCTGTGCAAAATTAGGCATATACCTGAGTTCTACAGATGTAAATAAATGTACCAAGCTTGCTTCAACCATCACACAGCACCCGGAACCTCTACAAACAATTTTGACCCTTCAATCCAGCCTCAACATCAACATAAATGCATCAAAAAATTCTACTTCACAAGTTCAGAAATTCTTCAGTGGATTAGTGCACTCTCATAGTGATTTCAGAGATTAAATTAGCTTAGAACTTCAATTAATCTCTTTGAAAGTGACTCATATTTTCAGCTCTCGAGCCTCACACTCAATGCAGCTCAATATATAAAAAGAGGCTCAATATTTGCACACCTATAACAGTATATATAAAAAGAGGCTTAATATTTGCACACATAGGTGATGTTGGTGATCTTGTACTCATTATGGGATGGGAGAGACCAATGATTACATTCCTTTAGGTGCTCTACATGTTATAGCTATAACCCTACCCTGATGCACCAGCACGAGAATAATTCCGTTCACAAAATCAGTTTAGGTTCTCAAAATTAATTGGGTGTGGATGAGAGCAGAATATCATGTATCAACTCATGCATTCAGTGCTTTAAATTCAGTAATTAAAATTTTCTAGTGCTTAATTTTCAGCTTTATTAAACAGCACCTTAGTCGGTTTTGTTTTTGAAAATTGAATGAGCGCATTTTTATATATATGGATTTCTGGGTATATGGTTTTTAGTTTTTGTAGGCAAGCACAATAAATAAATAATTGCTATTTATTGAGTTTGTTGGTGAATTAGAAATTTGTAGCTTTGATCAACATAGTTACCAGATTACAAATTAGATTAGATTAGATATACTGGATACCATGCTTAGAAGTGTATATATAATAATGTGTCAACTAAAAGCAGGAGCTGTGTTTGTTGGTGGTTTGTGCGTGGATATGGATTTGGGACCCTTGATCCAAATTAAATCAACTGTTCAATTAAACTTTAGGATCCCAGAATTGGATTATTAGAATGTTATTAGTGACATCCTTGATCGATTTGAGTATTCAAATTATAAGGATTTTAATTTTTCGGAAATAGATTATAAGGATTTTAGATAACATCTATAAGGATTTTAGATAATATTTATATATATGGATTTTAGATAACATCTATAAGGTGTTATTCCAGTTGACTTTAACAATCATTTTCTATCTATAATATAAATGTTGTGGGATCCACACGACTATGAGGCCAGGCCTGCTTCCAAAAAAATTGACCAATTTGAAATGACTTTCATATTTAACTACGTATTTGAGTTCTAGATCTGAGAAAAGAGGCCCATATTATAACATTGAAGCACACCACCAAGGTGAGAATGTTAATTTTTCTCACTTAAAAAAAAAGAACCAATTTTAATGACTTATTAGAGATCTAAAAACAATGTCCAAGCCCATTGGTTTAACAAGTTGTGGTAATTTAATTTTTTAACATAGTAATGCGAATGCTATTTTTTCCAATTAATTAACATGGTACTTAAAATTTTGTTTCCTTTTTTTTTTTTTTTTTTTGTCCAGTGATCGATAGGTTTAATTTGTTTGCTGCTGAAAATTTGAATTTCCTATCACTGCTCTATGATACGAACTTACCTTTTCGTATCATCCAGTTTTAGTTGATTTACCTTTTTGCTATCTATCTGAGTTAGTAATTTCATGATCATCCATCCTTTAATAAAATGATTTAAAAATATTATTGAGATAAAATATTGAGCTTGTTTACTCTGGGGTGTGTGAAACTGAAACTCTCCTTGCACTTAATGGTAACAAATATTTTAGGTGGGAACATACATTGAAGTCAAAAGTGGGCTCATCAACTGTCAATGTCCATCACATGATCAAGATGGGAATAACTTCCCTAACCTAAATTCATTCAAATTTTTGGAGATTATGTAATTGAAGCCAAATCACTTTCAATAATACACACAACGAAGGCCACACTAATCAACGCTATATAAGAAAAAAATACACATAAATGTGAATACCATGATGCTGCCTCAATATAGTACAAGGAATAAAACCTGACCCCAGTTATCTATTCTACAGTCTCTGTCACACAACTTAAAAATAAATAAATTTCTTTTTTTAATATATATATTGGGACAAGTTAATGAGCCTAAAATAACCTATCACTCATTGCATGGATTCGAGTTCATTTCATTTGATTTTCTGAGTAAAAGGCTTCCAATGCTGATCCCAAATACTAAAAGTGCATAGGGTTAAAGATAAATATGAGGCGTAGGCTCAGATTTATTGTAAACTGAACCAATAAAGTGCATAGAATAACTTCAAAATCTTGTAGAGTTCTACTGGCATCTGAAAAAAAAAAAAAAAAAAAAAAAAAAAAAGGGCATTGTATGAGATTGATTATAATATAATTGGAATAAAAATCAGTGTTAGGGTTAGGGCTTACTTGACAAGGAACCTTTAATTATTTCTTTACGCCTTGTTTCGAACTAAATACTTATGGGATTTGAAATTAGAGTTGGGAAAGGAATTGGGAATAAAATGGGATTTGTAAAAAGGAATTTTAAATTCCGTCTAAGTTCTTTTAAAATTCCACACATTCCAAATATTTGAAATCATATTTTAAATTCAATTATGATAAAATCCTTCCTATTTTTGTTTGCCTACATTGCCACTCTGCATTACATCAGGATAAACGCACTTGAAATTCAGGTGGGCCAACTTGAACCCAACTTAATGTTTTTTAATATATAAATGATGTTCAAAAGTTTGCTACTGAATCTGGTCACTCTTAATGTTTTATGTATGTTGTTTAAGTTCCTTGTGTAATATTCTTTAGTTATGTTTTTGCTCTGTTGTGGTTTTGTTCTTTTTTATTTGTTAATCTCAATTTAAAATTAAAATTGCAATTTTAAATAACTGATTCAAAAATTTTTTTATTTTTATTTTTTATTATGATGGGTTAGAAACTAGTCTATGTTTTGTGCTACTATTTTACAAGTTAATTTTTATTTTGGGATCGATTTTGTTACAAGCTTAACATATACTGTATTTATTTTTTTTAGACCATAAAATTTGGTTAATTGATATGACAATTATATTTTTTTATGTTAAACATATAATTATGCATCACAAAGTATATGGACATTGTTTGATCCTTTTTGTGATCCTCACACATGCTTGTTAAAGTTTGTATTAGATCGTGATATTGATGTCTCTGGACTGAGAATTCTAAATGGAATAGAAAATATAAATTTGATGTCATATATAAGTAAGATCCTTTTTTGGCTTTCACTGAAAGAGTTTTAGCTAGCTCTTTTTCTTCCAAAAATGGAAGTGAAGAACGAATCTCCCACTCATTCCTATTCTCTATATACATACATCAAAAAATAATTCATCTTAACTTAGTTTATAGTTAATTTTTTATTGAGCTACTGATGTTTAACACTACATTCATCTTAATTTCAAGATGAAATGAAACAGAAGTTTTCACAAGTTTTTCACAATTCTGATGGTACCAGTCCTATCATAAATGATGTTGAGATAGTGAAAAACCAATTAGGTATCAGAAATGGATATCGTCGTGGGTTCGGAAATGGTTTTGTAGCTCCAAGCCATCAACGTGCATCCTTATCTTTTGAAGAGGCTTATAGAAAAAGGGTAAAAAATGTTGAAGAAGATAATGCACAACTTAGGGAGAAAGTTACAAATTTAGAGGAGAAGTTGGATACATTTCAGCACCTCCTTGAGCAGCAACAACAACTCCTTCAGCAGCAACAACAGAACCAACAATTGCCACCACGATTCCACCAACAGCAGCATGCCCCACCAAGCTGGTATCAGCAGCCGCCAACATGGTGGCAATTTCGGCACCACGCACCAGCACCACCACAACAGTCACCTGAATGAACTATAAAGATAATTATTTTGGTAAATATATTTTGGAGCTTTTTGATGGCTTGCTAACTGATTTCTAACTATTTTGGTAGTGTATTTTTTTCCCTGCATTTTCATGATTGCATTCAGTTTAAAATGATGTTTTAATTTTTGAGGATGTTTGGAACCATTTGATGTTAAAGCAGCTACTAGATACTTTTAGCTCTTCTTTACAAAACTGGAGAATTTGTAGTTTCATCATGAGATTAAGAGCTTGTTTGTTGGTATCATATTATGGTGGTAATTTATTTTTTTCTTTCTAAAATGATATTGTGGATGAATATACTTTTTAGTTTCCATGTTTTGATATATAAGGTGGACGTGGTTTAATAGTATTTTTAGAAGACAAATCCCGTAGAGCTAAACAGAAAAAAAATAAATAATAATAATAATGAACTATTAGGGACAGTTTATTACTGTCACAAATTTAATTTAATAATAATAAAAAATCTTATTAGGGACAGTACAAATTGTGCATAATAAAGTATGTATTAGGGACTGGCAAAAAACGGTCCCTAATATATCAACTATTAGGGACAGTAAATACCGTCCCTAATAAATCAAAGGGGGACGGTCTTATTAGGGACAGTAAGTCCGTCCCAAATAAATGAAAGTGGGACGGGCCTTTTCGGGACAGTAAGTCCGTCCCTAAAGGTCGATTTTATTAGGGACAGAAAATTTTTACCGTCCCTAAAAATCATTTGACACAACTATTAGGGACGGTCAGATTTGATTATTAGGAACGGTCTTAGGGTTTTTAGGGATAGATTTGGCCGTCACTAAAAACCTAATTTCTTGTAGTGATGGGGGTGTCCTTCCCTTATACAGAGGGTCTGAAGGCTCAAGAGGCTGAGGTGTTTTTTGCTGAAATGGTGAAGGCTCACTCGGAAGATCCTCCGAGCTCATCAACTCCTGTAACTCCTGGTCCTTCAATTCCTCCACCTGCAAGTCCAGCTGTAGTAAATGCTTTTGAATCTGCCCCGTTTAATCCGAAGAGGAAGTAGGATCAAGCAAACATACATATATATTTTCCTTGTAATGAAACAATTTTGAGAATGAATGATATATCCTTTTCTTTTATTCTGCTTCGATTGCGTATGCTTGTATGCTTCTGATATTGCACTCTGTTGAGAGATTTTTTTTTTTTTTAGAGGGAAGGTACCCTGCTTGAAGGTTCCTTATTTGTTTTAGTCCGAAGAAAAATAAATAAGAGGTTTTCCAAGCCGGACACTCAGTGTCCAAGGCGAGGTTTTTGCCGAGCCGGACACTTAGGGTCCGAGGCGAGATTTTTGCCGAGCTGGACACTCAGGGTCCAAGGTGAGATTTTTACTGAGCCGAACACTTAGGGTCCGAGGCGGGATTTTTGCCAAGCCGGACACTTAGGGTCCGAGGCGAGATTTTTGCCGAGCCGGACACTTAGGGTCCGAGGCGAGATTTTTGCCAAGCCGGACACTTAGGGTCCAAGGCGAATGAATTACTCCCCGGCGCTGAGCCGTAATGAGGTTTTGCCGAGCCAGACGCTTAGGGTCCGAGGCGAGATTTTTGCCAAGTCGGACACTTAGGGTCCGAGGCGGATGAATTACTCCCCGGCGCTGAGCCCGAAAGAGGTTTTCATACATATATTCTTCTCTTCATCGTTTTTTTTTTTTTTTTTTTAAAACAACTTGCCGAGGACTCAAAAATGATAGGAGGCCAAGAAAGCGAGTAACAATGGCTGCAAAGTTTCCTATTTGTTTATTTTGGAGACTTTCCTCCATTGATACTCCCTTCTTGGCAACTATATGTCATGGACTACGCATATATTAACCACATTTCCTTTCTATTTTTATCCGATGTGGGATAAAGAGCTTTAACCATAGGTCAAAACGCATGGTTTTTAATAACTTGCTTCCAACATTGCTTTGCATAAAAGCATAAAATTGCATAATCATAGTGCAATATGAAAATTTCTTTGCATAAAATTTTTCAAAATTTTTCCTTTGCATAAAAATTTCAATAAAAATTTCTTTGCATAAAAATTGCTAATGCATACTGCGACGCAAAATTGAATAATCATTGAATGATGGTATGGCCCCCATTTTTATGGAAAGAAACAAATAGAAGTAAAATAAAGTAAAGCATGGCTAACTGTGGGCTTACGCAGCCTTATTTGTAAAGAATTATTAATAAAATTGACAAACTTAACTAATGGAAATACTATTTAAGGTGTATTGCATTCTAAGGACGCGCAATGGGACGTCCGTCAGCTTCGGCCAAACGATATGCTCCCTTCCCTACTACTTCAGTAATCCTGTAGAGTCTGGTCCAATTAGGTTCCAATTTCTTTACATGAGCTGTCTCTTGCTTTAGAACCCAATCGCTTACCGCAAAGTTCCGGAATCTGACACGTTTGTTATAATTATTGCGCAGCTGCTGCTGATATGAAGCAAGCCTAATTGCTGCAGCATCCCTTTTCTCATCGAGGAGGTCGAGACTATGTTCGAGCTGCTGACTATTGTTTCCTTCAAGCAACAAGGATGTTCGAAGGGTTGGAATCGCCGCTTCGGTTGGAATCACTACTTCGGAGCCATAAGCCATGGCAAAGGGACTCTCCCCATGGGCCGCCGTGGTGTGGTTCGATACGCCCAAAGCACTTGAGGGAGATTCTCGTACCATTTCATTTTGAGTTTCTCCAATTTCTTCTTTAAACAACTGAAAATGGTCCGATTAGTTATTTCAGCCTGTCCATTCCCTTGTGGATGACTAACTGCAGCTAACTTTTGTATAATTCCATGCTCAGCAAAGAATTTTCTTGTACTTCTATTGTCGAGGTTCTTACCATTGTCCATCATAATGACTTTTGGCACCCCAAACAAGCAAATGATGTTGTTCCAAAGGAAACTTTTTACCTGCTCATGGGTCATACTTGAGTAGGCCTCGGCTTCTACCCATTTAGTGAAATAATCTATAGCCAGTAGCACGTACTCCTTTTGTTCCATAGTTTTGGGTAACGGGCCTACCATATCAATGCCCTATTGTGTGAATGGCCATGGATTTGTCATTGCGTGTAAATCTTCGGCAGGTTGATGCTTCATGGGACCGTGACGTTGACATTTGTCACACCTCTGAGTATACTCTTCTGCATTCTAGGCCAAGTACGGCCAGAAGTAACCTTGAGTCAGGACTTTATGCGCGAGGGATCTACCCCCAGAATGGTTGCCACAATCTCCGTCATGGATTTGTTTCAACACCACAAGAGCCTCAGTAGGGCTTAAACATTTCAGGTAAGGACCTGAAAATGACTTTCGGTATAACTGATTGTTAATGATGGCATATTTAGCTGCGGTGAGACGGAGCTTCCGTGCTTCGGACTTCTGGTCTGGAAGAACTCCATGCTTGAGGTAGGCTTCCAATGGATCAATCCAGCATGGTTCTCGAGGAATAACTGGAATCACCATTACTTCCTGTGGAGGATTAATGCTGGGCTTTTCCAGAACGTCAATCGGCACAATCCAAGTCAGATCTTCATTTGAGGATGATGCTGATGTGGCCAATTGATCTGCTTCGGCATTCTCAACACGAGGTACCTAATAGAATTTGATCTGATCGAATCCCCGTGTAACGTTCTCTACAGCTTCTTTATATGCTTTCATTCTTTCCTCTTTGGGATGGTACTGACCTGTCACTTGATTTATAACAAGCTGTGAGTCACTAAAAACCTTTAAGCAACGTACCTGAAGGCTGCTAGCCAATCGAAGACCAGCAAGTAATGCCTCGTACTCGGCCTCATTATTTGTAGCCGGGAACTTCAAACGGATAGATTGCTGCAGCTTGGTGCCTTCGGGTGTTGACATTACAACGCCTACCCCTACACTTGCTTGATTCAAGGAGCCATCAACTCGAAGTTCCCACTGTGGTTCAGGGTGTGCCGGCTCTTCGGGAGTATCTTCATACTCGAGAAGAAAGTCTGCTACGGCTTGTCCTTTTTGCGACACCCTTGGCTCATAAGTTATGTCGAAGGAACTAAGCTCGCTAGCCCACTTGGTAATTCTCCCAGATAAATCGGGCTTAAAGAGTATACCCCGTATAGGATAGTTGGTGAGTACCACAATGCTATGAGATTCAAAATAGTGCCGAAGCTTCCTCTTGGCATAGATCAAGGCTAAGATGACTTTTTCTGCTTTACTATATTGCGTCTCCGCATCTGTCATGGTCTTACTTGTGTAGAAGACTGGATATTGCCTCTTTCCTTCCTTTCTAATCAATGCTGCACTTGTCGCTATATTAGAAATTGCCAAATACATAATAAGAACCTCCTCAGGTTTTGGAGCGGATAGAATTGGTGGTTCAGCCATGTAACCTTTCAACCGACTGAGGGCCTCCTACTGCTGAGGTCCCCATATATCTTTATTCTTAGATCGTATAGCATCGAAGAATGGTTTGCACTTATCTAACAATCGGGATATAAACCGGCTGAGGGCTGTGATTCGACCAGTAAGAACCTACACCTCCCTGCGATTTTTTGGTTCCTGATTCTAGATGAGGGCCTTAGCTTGAGCCGGACTTACCTCTATCCCTCTTTTATTCACTATGTGGCCGAGGAATTGACCTGATGATACCACAAAGGAGCACTTGGATGGATTTAGCTTCATGTTGTACTTCTTCAAGGTATTGAAAACTTCCTGTAGATGCTTCGGATGATCTTCTTTCTTCACACTTTTAACCACCATGTCATCTATATATGCTTCAACTGTCTTTCCCAGCAGATTATCGAATATCTTGTTGACAAGGCGTTGATAAGTAGCTCCAGCATTCTTCAGTCCGAAGGGTATGACCCTGTAACAATAAGTCCCCTTTTCTGTAATAAAAGCCGTTTTTTCTTCATCTTTGGGGTTCATAGGAATTTGATTGTATCCCGAGTATGCATCTAGGAATGTCAGCCTCTCGTAGCCAGTGGTAGCATCAACCATCTGGTCTATCTTGGGCAGAGGGTAGTTATCTTTAGGGCAGGCTTTGTTGAGGTTGGTATAGTCTACACAAACCCTCCATTTTCCATTCTTCTTCACGTTCGACAACCACTATGGATATTGCACTTCTTGAATGAAACCTGCTTGCAACAATTTGCTCACTTCTTCAGCTATAATGTGATTGCGTTCAGGGGCAAACCTTCGGTGTTCTGCTTAACCGGTTTGAACTCCGGATCCACCTTCAGACTATGGCAGGAAACTAAGGGATCGATCCCTACCATGTCCGAGTGATCCCACGCAAAGGCATCTGCATTGCTCCGGATAATATCAATTAATGCCTCATTTTCTTCGGACGTGGAAGAAGATCCTAGATAAGTAACCTTCTGAGGGTCGCCAAGGATAACTTCCACGGCTTCGAGGGTCTCCTCTGTGGGCTTCGCAATTTCCTCTTCCTCCTTTACCTTAAGATACTTGGGCAGAAGGCTCTGTAATTGCTATTTGGGTCCAGTTTTGGAAACCACACCTAGTTGCTGTTGAGTCGACACCCTCTTCACCTCAACTTGTGTCAACATGTAGCATTCCTTCACTGCAACTTGATCGCCCCACAGATTAATTACTTCTTTCCCGTCCGGAGATAAGCACCGCATCACCTGGTGAAGGGTGGACGGAACTCCTCTCATCCGATGTATCCAGCCTCTTCCCATGATGAGATTGTAAGAAGGATGGATCTCTGTTAAAACAAAGTTCTCCTTCAGAGTCCTCTTCGCCTCGGTTACTGACAAGTCTATTACTCCAAGGGGATCTACTCTTGTGCCATCGAATCCCATCAACGGGCTGGAGGTAGGTTAAATAGATGATGACGGGATCTCTAACTGATCAAAGACCGTCTTTATGATTATGTTAGCGCTACTTCCTGGATCTACCAAAACCCTCTTGATCATACAATTAGCCACTAAAAGACTGATGACCAATGGATCCTCGTGGGGGAGTTGTACTCTGGATAGGTCGCCATCTCCGAATCCAATACTGATGCTACCCGAATTGATAGCATTGACCGAGGATATCTTCTTGAGCTTGTGGGTCGCCCTCAGTCTGGATCTGTACACCTCCTCGGACTCTTGATCATCTTCAGACCTGCCATGTATTGCATGGATGACTTTTACTTGCGTACCTTCTACCTTGCGGGGATAGACCTCGCAGGGCTTTGCACACTCCTTTGTCATGAGGTAATCCGTCAATTCACCTCTGGCGATCATATTCTCCACCTGTCACCTGAGGGATCTACAATCGTTGGTTGAATGCCCATAATCTCGATGATAAGCGCAATGCTTTCTTTTGTCCCTTTGCTCCAGGGGTTGCTTTATTGGCTGCAGAGTTGTGAACTTCGTCTTATTCTCTTGGAAGAGCCGAGCCAAGGTAGTTCGGAGAGGTGTAAATCCTTCCTCTACCCTTTGCCTTTTTTCAGGTGCCTGGGTGACCGGCGTTGAGGAACGTTGGCTTTTTTGAATCTTTGGAGTTGGAATTCTTTCTCGAGGCTTGTTTTCCACTGTCATGAGGGTGGCATGCTGCGCTCGGTGGGCTATATTTTCCTTAAGCCGAATGTAGATCTGGGCCCTGGCATTTAGAGTCTGCATGTCGGGAGGAGAATACTTGACTAAGGAAATATGGAACTTCGTCCCCTGAATTATCGTGAATTTAAATGTCTCTATAGCAGTTGCGGGATGACAATCCGCTATTTCTGAGGCCTCCATGTTGAATCTTGACAAGAAATCTTGCAATGTTTCCCCCCTTTTCTGCCTTACGGTGAAGAGGCTGGCAATGCTCTTCTTTTGTTTCTTATTTCCGCAATACTGTGCCAAGAACATGGTGCATAGAGTTACATAATCCGGGATGGACTTATGCGGTCTATTCTTGAACCACTCTAATGCTGCTCCTGTCAAACTGGTAGGAAAAACTCTGCACATCCAATGGTCATTACGATCATCCAAAGCCATCTTTTGAGCGTAATGATCTAGGTGCCAAGAAGGATCCCCTATTCCATCAAACTGGGTGAAAGTAGGCATGGTGAATTTCTTGGGCCTCTCAACCAGATACACATCGTCAGTGAAAGGAGTTTTGACTAAGGAATTTTTGTGTTCTCCAGCCATCTCAGCAGGTGTCTGAATCTTCAGGAGTCTCTTCTCGTCAAAGGCATCCTGAACACCTGCACCATCTGGGATTCCATTAGACCATACTGTAAGTTTATGGCTGGATTCGACTTGTTCATCCTGTGTGCGACGAGGGACGTTATTTGAAGCCGCAGCCTCGGATCTTGCCTTCCGTTGTTGCTGAACCTCATTCGGCTGAGCCTCATTGGGTCGTGCCCCATTAGATGGAACCCCATTAGGCGGAAGTCCAGTAATCGGAGGAATATTCTGACTAGGGGGTGCTGCTGTGTCACCCACTGGTGGCGGTGGTGCCAACTGAGCCAGCGTCGTTTGCAGAGTGTTATTCTGCTGTTGAAGCATGGCGATCTGAGCCATGCTTGCTTCGTTTGCCTGACGAAGTACGTCAAACTGGTGTAGAAACTCTTCACGCATCTTTTGCATCAACTCCGTCTGTTGATCTGCTGAAGATCCTCCGTTCGACATTCTGGATGGTAGCTGCAGGATTCACTTGTGAAACAAAAACAAGAGTGGGAATATATTTACACACGTTTCCCACAGACGGCGCCAAAGTGTAAGTGCAAAATTTCGTTCAACCAATAATGATTGGGAAAAATAAAACAACTCACTCAATAAACAATAAAAATAAACAAGAACAGTGTATAGAGAGCTGTAGAATTGCTTGATTCCTTTATTGGAGGTCTAGGTCTCTATTTATATACAAAAGTTTGAAGAATTATGGTAGGACTCGCGTTGCTTGTCCTCTAATTCTTTCCATATATCAATTTCTTTACAAATAGAATTCTTTCCTTTTTATAATTCGTCCCTTACTAGATTTTCCTTACACAGAACTTGCTTCCTTTGGTGAATCCTTTTCCTTGCAGGACCGGCTCCTTCTTTAAATGGATTTGGGCCGCATTTAACTTGGTCCACATGACTGCTGGCATCTTGATTCGAGCTTTAGTAAAGCTGGTAGTTAGATAACAATAGTTTTGGGCTAATGACTAACTCAACTTGAGCTTTTAACGAGATGGGCTTTCAACTTAACCGAAGATAAAGTTATATTTATGATAACGTGAACTGCTCTTATTGGAGGGAGATTTTTCCCTCTACAATATATTTAAAGAAAATAAAATAATTTTTATAAAACTCTAACACAAATTTCCTGTTTTATTATTATGAATAATAAAAAAAAAATTTAATTGAGATAAAAAGAGATTTTAAAAGAGTTTCTATAAAACTCTAACATAAATTACCTATTTATCAATTTATTATGAGTTTTTTTAATAAAAGAAAATCTAATTAGACAGCAATTATTAATATAAAAAATATTTATTAATTGATATAGAAAGTAAAATAATTTTTCTAAAACTTTATCACATATAACCTATTTATTATGAATATATTTAAAGAAAATAAAATAATTTCTATAAAACTGTATAACAAATTAGCTATTTTATTTTCTTTAAAACTTTATTACATATAACCTGTTTTTATCAACTTAATATGAATTTTTTAATAAAAGAAAATAAATTAGACAAGGATATATATATTTTTTTTAAAAAATAATTTTTTAAAAGAGTTTCTTTAAAACTTTAACACAAATTACCTATTTATCTATTTATTATGATTTTTTTTAATAAAAGAAAATATAATTAGACAATAATTATTTATATAAAAAATATTTATTAATTGATATAAAAATTCAATAATTTCTCTAAAACTCTACCTCAAATCACCTTTTATTATGAGTTTTTTTAATAAAAGAAAATCTAATTAGACAATGATATATTTAGGAAAAATAAAATAATTTCTATAAAACTCTAACACAAATTAACTATTTTATTTTTAATAAAACTGTATCACATTAGAAAAGGATATATTCAAAGAGTTTCTATAAAACTCTAACATAAATTACCTATTTATCTGTTTATTATGAATTTTTTAAGAAAAAAAATCTAATGAGACAGGATTATTAATATAAAAAAATATTTATTAATTGATATAAAAATAGTTTTTAAAAGAGTTTCTACAAAACTGTAACAGAAATTACCTATTTATCTATTTATTATGAGTTTTTAATAAAGGAAATCTAATTAGATAAGAATTATTAATATCAAAAATATTTATTAATTAATATCAAAAATTAAGTAATTTTTCAAAAGAGTTTCAAATCATTATTAAAACAATTAAAAAAATAGGTAAAATAGGTAAAATAGGTAATTGTTTAATAAAATAATTACCAAATAATAAAATAAGTTACAAAACATTCATCACGTGCATGGCACATGCCTTTTCCTTATATATATATAGTGGCATAGTTAGGATTTGAATTCAAAGGCATAGTGGAATTTTATTATCATTTTTTTAAAATAATAATATGAAGAAGAAAAAGGGAAAGAAAAATGAAATTTGAAGGAAACAAATTAAAGCATGATTAAATAAGGGGAATTTAACCTTTTTAAAAAGATAATTAAAGAAATTTAAAGTGTGAAAGAGAAAAAATAGAAAAAGTTCAAAATTTTATTGAAAACTAATAATTTTAGGGGGACATAATATACAAATTTATATATATATGTGTGTGTGTGTGTAAAAAATAAAATAAAATAAAAACCATATATATACATAGGACGCGCCAGGGAGGCATTCCCCCTGGGTACACACTGACTTCGCCCCTATACATATATATATATACTAGTAAAAGGTATACGCGATGTACGTGTTGAATATTTTGTAACTTATCGATATATTCGTTGTATGATATTGTCAGATATTAAATGAATTCATATTAATAATGTTTAGAGAATAATAATTGTTATCTTAAAAGAAATAAAATAAGGTTTTCCATTGATAAATGATATATTAGAAAATTCGAAAGGGTACCAACGATGTTTAGATTGTAATAATTGTCATCTCAAAAGAAGCAAAATATATTAGAAAATTCGAAAGGTACTTAAAAGGTACCACAAATTATAACTATAATTTTATGAATTCCTAAACTATAACTATTTGAAAATAAAATTTTTCCTAAATTATTTATTTCTCAATCTTTATCTTTTTTTGTATATCTCATTTCTTCATGAAATGAATCATTTTCAAGTATCAATTTTTTTTTAATTCTTCCACTACAAAATAAGTTTTCTTGACTTGTTGTTGAGTATTGTCTATCTTCACAAGAAAAATAAAAGATTTTCCTTTACAACTTGTCACTTTGTTGGTGAATTCATCCATGTCCTGCAAAAAGAACAAATATACTTTAGAGCTATTGAGAATTTAGAGCTATTGAGAAATTCAAGTAAGTAATTTTTTTTATTTAATTAAAATTTTTAAAAAATTACCTCAATTTGTAATTGTAATAAATCATTTAGTGAACAATTTATTAATGTTTGGCAATCATTGAACACTGTTAGGGTTGCAAGTGTTGCAATATGTTCTATACTTCGCACTTTAATTATCATCATGAATCTGCGCATGAGTAAGGAGAAAGAATCATGTATTTGTAATATTATTAAACCATTCAAATATAATAATAATGATCAGGTTTTAAGATATAATAATACTTTTTGAAAGCATTTTGGGTCTGTTGTCTTGCATCGAGGATAATATATTCTATCTTTTTCAACTTTAATTTTCTTGTTACATTTCTCACACACGTCGTACCACGGTTCGCGGTCATTAACGACCTTTGCAATTGTTACTTCGAAAGAGTAATTTTTTTCCTACAAGTTGTGCAACAAAATATAACTTCTCAATATATAAATTGAATATAAAAATTTAATACACAATTAAGGAAGATTAAGAAATATACTCAAATTTAATACCTCAAAGGACATTGTAAATTTTCCTATTATGTCTTGAAGTTTGACTTTTTCAGCACCATTAAATTTTTGATCTTTTGTACTGGAAATCAAACTTCTTATATTGGCTTATTTCAGGACGAAAGCATGCAAAAGTGTGTAGTGTGGCCAAGTTTAAATTTAGAGATTACCACTACCACTTCTAACTATAAATATAGCTAGGGTGAGTAGGGATCATTCCAAGGGAAATTGGGTGTATTATGCTTAGAAATCAAAGTTGGATTAGTAGGTCGAGTGATCAAAGATGTTTTATTTGGTTAATTAAACTACAATGTCAATTAAATGAATACAAGGTAAAATAATTGAAGTAGAGTAAAATGTAGAGAGTATAAGAGAGGGATCTTGGGACTTAGAGGTTACCACTAAACACCACATTCCTAGACACTCAATGTGTAATGAATGAGGGGGAATATGTGTTGCAATATTAGTGTGTGTCATTGATTGAATCAACAAGCATGGATAACTAAGCAAGTATATATTGTCTAAACAAACTAGTGAATAGCAAAACATATCAAATTAAGCCATTATTCCTTTCTTTAAGTCCACAACCAATACACATCATCAAATTAGATAAATATATTACTTGCATTTATAAGCATGGAATATTAAACAACAAGTATGGATTGTCCTCCCATTTAAGAAAGTAAGGTAACAACACTACAATTAAGCTAAGGACATGAAAATTAAGTTAAGTAAGCTAAAGAAGAAGCACAATCCATCAAGAAATGAGTATGAACCATCAAACAAACCACAAGAATATTCCATTAAAACACCACGCTTTGACAATCACTAGATTCATAGCATTAACACACATAAACATGCATCAATATCACAAAATTTAGAGATAAACACATGAACATCTATTCTAGCATACATAGATATATGAATAGAATGAAATGATCAATTGGTAGTATTAAATCACACAAATCATTGTAGAAACAAGATTCATATAAAAATCAAATGTCAAGACAAGAATTATAACACAAATCCCCTCAAAATACAAAACATCAAAGTCTAAGAGGCATGCTTAGGGCTATCTCTAACCCCAAGAGAATGGTTTAGCCACTCATTGATGTAGTCATCCAACCCTCAAGGGCCATCTCTATGGTAGGAATGATCTTCTTCTCCTTGATGGAAACCCTAAATAAGTGGAAGAACTCCCAAATGGAGTGTCTCTCTCTAATCTCTAGACTCCTCCCACCTTTCTTTTGTTTGGTTCCTTTCTCTAAGATTGTATCTCCTCTTTTGTAAAATGGCTCAAAATCCTTATATAGGTAGCTCAAGGGTCATACCCAATGGTCAGACTTCATACACTAGGACCTCCAAATGATTACACCACGAGCACACCTTTTAATTGGCTGGAACTCTATTTTTCTCGCACTTGAAGAGGTTCGATCGATCATAAGGATGGTCAGATCAATCGAACCATGGCGACGCCTTTTTGGAATAACACAAATCTGAGATATTTTTGGGATATTTTGGGAAAAGGACAAAAGTGGTAGGTGAGGATAAGATCAAAGAAGTTCGATCGATCGAAGAATTGTTGGATCGATCGAAGATGGGAATTTCCTGAGAATAAGGACAAGAGGCTCGATCCATCTTGGCATGGTTGGAACGATCGCTGTGAGA